TCCACGTCTAATGACTCTTCAGCTGGTGCTGTAGGCATCTGTTTTTGTTCAAATGCACATATAGCATCCTGCTGCGTTTTCATAGTTATTCAAAATCTACACTGAGGAATGCTAAAGGACCACTTTTCACAAAATTATTTCACAACGTGCTATGCAAGTTTAGCAAGCCCCTTCACCTCAAGTTTCCTCATTCGAAAAAGGAAGAGGCTGCAATTTATCATCTCGGTCAGAACGCAGCTGACCCTAGAAGAGAAAAATGAAAACTCCTCACAGATTTGCTGTCAAGAGCCTTGTAAAAGGGTGTTCCAGACAGGGAGGGATACATTTGCTGAAGTCCCTCCCAGTGTCTGTCTGGATTTCTGCTACCCCGTAGGTCCCCTAGCTGTGATGCTCATAATCTCCACCACTACCTGGATAGGCCCTTCAAAAGTGGCTGCAGAGAAGCTAAAGTGTTCTCTTTTGCTTTATAGAACAACTGAGACACAAACTAAAATGAAATCCAAGGTACACACAGCGAAGGGGTTTCTTTTCAATCCCAGAAAAGCAGCAAAAAGTATTTGTCCAGAATTCCTTTCTCCTCAGACCCCTCCACTCTAACTCAGGAGGGCTCATAGGGCTTTGCAGATACCTCTGCCTCAGAGATTCCTGCCCATCCCTGGGCTGGGTGGTCTTTGACACCACATAATCTACCAGCACTCAGAGTCTGCGTAGCCAAAAGACCTTGTTGGTATCCGAGTAATTAAATAAGACTCTAGTTGAAAGCTCTCAGACTACCTAGAGTCTATGGAGGGGATACCCCCTTCACAGATGGTGTGCCATGACAGTCATAGGCCCAGCACCCTGGAGCTCCATTAGGGCTGTTCAAACTTTAATGTACATCCAGATCACCCAGGACCTTGCTAAAATGCCAATCCTGAGTCAGCAGGACTGTCTTAAGATTCAAAATTCTGCATTTCCTGCTAGTTCCCGGGTGATGCTGAGATGGTTGGGCCACAGATCTCACTTTGAGTACCGAGGCCCTAGTCCAGAGGGCAGGAAATTTTTTTCCATAAAGACTCAGGAAATATTTTTGTAATTTGTAAGCATTAATTCGATGTCTTAAAGTCAGGTATGCTTTGATACAGTAATTCCATATCTAGAAATTTAACCTAAGTAAATAATTAAGTGTAGGCATAGATTTAACTAGAATGATGTTTTTAACAGCGAAAGACTGAAAAGAGTTTAAAGTTCAGCATTAAGGTGTTGAGTAAATAAAATAATTAATGTTTATGATGAAATGGCACATTTCCACAAAATGATGTATATTAGTTGTCAGTAAAGATATTTATACATAGAAAAAGACAGCTTTGAAATAAGTACTCAATGGAATTCTAGAAAGAAAAGCCCCCGAATGTTATAAATGTCTTCTCTGTAAATTGGAATTTGGGGATGTTTAGTTTTTACATTTCTACGTCTGTAATTCAAGTTTTCAAAAATGAGTATTTATTTCTTGTGTAATAAAGAACTACAAATATTAAAATAAATAGAGTTGAGCACGGTGGCACACACTGGTAGTATCAACTACTTAGAAGGCTGAGGTGGGAGGATCACTTGAGCCCAGGAGTTTGAGGCCAGCCTGGGCAACAGAGCGAGACCTAGTCTCTAAAAAAATATATAAAATTTAAAAATAGTAAAATAAGTATATTTATGATCACAGAGCAGCTATGATGACATGGTCTCCCTTTGGTGTTATCTCTTAATGGAGGAGGTCTTTCCTCTGAGGCTTTAAAGGCTAAAATATCTTTTTCACAGAATAAGGTAAGACGGAGCAGAGAAGCCACCTGCCCTCTGGTAGAGACCCAGGACATGGGACTGAGCAGAAGTCCCGTCTTTCTTGAGTTTTCCAGACTACACCTCTTCCTTGTTCTTGTCAGGTGCTGACACATTGGGAATTATACTCCTGGGGTCCCAGTGGGATTTTCTTTGACTGTTCTTCTATTCTCCATGGCTCTCAAAGGACTCTTGGAGAAGGGCTTAGCCAGCATTCCATAACCTCAGTTCAGGAATCACCTTCTACCCATGTGAATTCAGGGCCTACCATGTGCACTCAGCAGGTCAGGTCAGAGTCCTCCCTGAAGCAGAAGTTACCGACCGTGACATTCTGGGACACGTCACACTAGGGAAGAGCGATGGTACACAGTGACCCTTTCCCCTGGCTTCAGGAAAAATAGAACTCCATAATCAATAAGCAAAAAGACAAAAGCTCTCCTGGAAACCTTCCCCGTCCCATTTTTCACAACACATAGAATTTCTTTACATCAGATGTTCTTTGAAACGGTTAGTTCTCTCCTGGGAGGATCCTCTAGAAATGTGTTTTGCCAAGACCTTAAAGTTTTCACACTGTCTTTAAAAGGCGATAACTTTGTTTTAAAATAGATTTCAGTGTCCCATGTATGTCTCCATTTAAGAATTCATTAATCGGGAGACAAGCTGGAGTCACGCCAGAGAGGCATTAAAGCAAGGCTCTGATGAAGCCTTCCCTGATGGCAGGAAAGTTCCGGAAACATTGCGGTCCCACTTCTAGTTCTGACAGTGCCTTGGGGCTTTGTCATGAATTCTAGGAGTTTTAGGTGACAATGAAAAAAAACCCAGAGATTTTAAGTTTGAACCAAGTATGTTAAATCGCCAAAGTGGGAGTCTGAAATGGAGGCTTCTAGTTTGCCTTCCGAAAGTAGCCACACTCACGGCTGACACGGCGTTCCAGAGGCTCAGTCACAAAGCAAGACCATGTGCTCCAGCGGGCTCCCTCGCTTCGCTTTTCTTTTGACCCCCGGCCCCTAGTCGAGATGCTCAAAACAAGCACTCAATACTTTTCCTTTCTGCAGAAAAACAACAGTACCTGCTGAAGGACAGCAGGCTTCTATTCATTCTTGAAAACAGGTGTTCACAAAACCATCTCCTAGTGTTTTTTTCTGGACTTAGAAGGATATCTGAGTTCCCTGAAGCCATGGCACTAGACACAAAACTGAGACACTCGATCCTACATAGTCATATTTCCACCATTACACTGCCCACCCTATGGAGCAGGATATCACATGCGCTTCCCGTATTTCCTCATAACTTTGCGTTGCTGGTTAAAGATGGACCAACCCAGGGGTGACCAGTGACGCTTCCCTGCCCAACCTTGGTTCCTGAAACCATAGCTCATCAGCCAATTCACTTTTTCACGTCAGACCCTTAATTTCTCTCAACGGCTGCGAATTCTTACCCAGCTCTCTCTGGTTTCCACTCTTCACGAATTCTGAACACTTAAGTGGCAACCCCAGAATTAGTCTTGACCCTCTAGGCTGTGAAAATTTAACAGGCTGGAAATCTGCACGTGAGATTCAGAATCTACACTTCTTGTCTTGGTGATTGATCACAGCCTCTTTGCAAAAGATTTCTCTATTTGTAAAGCGAAGTCTGTTCACTTAAACAGTGAATGAATAAGGCAACTACAGTCATTGTGAAGCAACATGCAACAAAATGTCACGTGAATGATAACTAATTCAAGACAGACATTCTAATTCAGCGGGTTTTTTCTTTTTTAGAACTTAGCATCGACGATACCAAAAGTTGCCAGCTCGTGTTTTCTCCAAGTAGCCAAGTCAGGGAGGCCAAATAAACTCTCTCCTGCTTGCTTTCTGCAAGTCTGCTGGTTTTTAAGTATGAGGACTATAAAAACAAGTAACATTTAATGTGACTTATCAATAATGTTTACGGTACTGTACTACGGGTTCAACATACAGTGTCACACGTAATCCTCACAATTATCTTAAGTCGGGTATTATTTTCCTAAATGGCGCCTGAACTCGTTCAGCCAGGAAGCTGCAAGCCCTGAGACATGGATCCAGGTCTGCGCACCTGTAGGGCAGGATTTCTCACCACCAGGGGCACTGATGACATCGGGGGCAGAATCATCATTTTGGGGAGTTTTCTTGTGTACCGTAGGATGTCTAGCAAGCCTCCCTGGTCTCTACCCACTAGATGCCAGTGGCGCCTCCGCGGTGTGACAGCCAAAACTGTCTCTAGACGTTGCCAAATGTCTGGGAGGAGTTGGCTGAGGAGGGCAAACTGGCCTTGATTGAGAACCCCTGCTCTGGAACGAGGCATTTCACTCTACATTTCTTTATCTACTATGCAAATTTTCCTCTCAAAGGTGAATTTCTAAAGCGTTCTTCCTTAGTGTTTTTCTAATTATTCATTTTAAAATGTTAACTTTTTTTTTAATGTTAACTTAGAATAACGACATATGCTCCTTATAAAGCAGATGAAGCTGTGCAGAGTGTGTGTGAACCACAGATCTAGACAGGAATGGTCAGCCTCCCATTCTCTCTCTTCCTCTCATCTGTCCTCTTTCTGCCTGCTTCCAGTTGGAGGATACAAGACCTTGCAAATGGCTTTAGTTTCTTATGTCTCTCCTCCTCAATCCAAACACGTATTTCTAGCTGAGCTGTTTGGAGACCTCTTGCCTCTTCTGGAGTGAGCTTCTGGGAAGAGCACACTGAACGATGGGTGCAGGAATTTGCAGATGCAGTTAGGGGCCCCCTAACAAGGGGTTCTAACTCCGCCAGGCCTAGCTGGTTGCCCCGGGAGGCAGGGCGTCCAGCCGCTCAGCTTAGGCCTTTGAATGGGAAATTTAGGCGAACGCTAGCGAGAAAAACCCACCTCAGCCTGGCCTTAGGGCCCCCTCAGGGACCCGACCAGATTTGGATGGTTTCTCTCTCGCAGTCTCAGACACCAGGCCACGCTGTGGGCCACAGGGGGCCGAGGGAAGGAGGGGGCCTGGAGGCCTTATCCCCCAAGGGGCCCCCAGGGAACCTGGGACTCAGACTTGGGGAGAGCAGAGCCCCGCTGCCGCGTTTCAGGGGCCCTCGCGTGGACTCAGAGCGTCCGGGGGAACGCCTAAGCCACGCGTCCTGCGCACGCAGCTCAGACCGCCGGGAGGTCTTCGCCGCGGGCCCGCCGCGCGCCGCGCTCACCTTGTGCTGCTTCCACACGGCGCCCAGCGGCTTCACCTCGTGCTTGCCGTGCCGGCCCTCCTCCAGGCACAGGTAGCACACGGGCGTGCGGCAGCTCGCGCAGTACATGCTGTAGCTCTCCGGCT